TTTTACTCTAATCAGCAGCAACTGTGATCATTAGGATCTGATTAGAAGTGATGGAGAACCCCCAATTTCCTTCATTGTTTTACAGAATCATAGGACTTTAGAGTGAGAAAGAATCCTAAAGTTTATTTATTCTATAGTTCCCAATGCTATCCATAGAGTGCCTGCCATAAAACATCAAAAACACATAGGACATTAAGAGTACATATTCGGGGCCAGCACTATGGTATAGCAGGTACAGGTGCCTTCTGCAGTGCCGGCGTCCCATATGGACTCTGGTTGAAATCCCTGCTGCTCCACTTCCAATCCAGCTCTCTGCTATGGCCTGATAAAGCAGTAGAAGATGGCCCAAGTCCTTTGGCCCCTGCATCCACCTGGAAAACCCAGAAGAGGCTCCAGGCTCCTGGCTTCAGATCGGCACAGCTCAGGCCATTGTGACCATTTGGGAAGTGAACCAGCAATTGGAGGATATCTCTCTCTCTGCCTCTGCCTCTCTGTAACTCTGCCTTTCAAATAAATAAATAAATCTTAGGGGAAAAAAAGAGTAAATATTCCTGGGAATCACTTGCTTTAGAATAATTGAATCAGAATCTGCAGGTGGGGTCCAGATAGCTGAAAATTCTGATGAGGAGCCCAACTGGGACACTCTTGGATCTGACTATATTGCCAACAGAGCAAGCACCTGTCACATGGACAGAATACATTATACAGGGTTCCCACGGGGAAATGCTGCCTGCACTAGAAACAAAATCAAAAGTAACATTTTCCTAGTTTCATGCTCCTGCTGAAATACCACACTGTTTCATGTAAGAAAGAATTTCTAACTTGTGAGACATCTCCTTGTTGTAGGTAATTTCTGGAAATGTCAGTTTAAATCTACTAAAATCTGTAACAGCATCTTCTTCAAAGCCACTCTATAAAGTGTGTAAAAAAATAATTTTTGTCCCAAGTGGCTTGTCTAGATTGAATTTTATTCTTTTTCCCCAGTGTTGACACTGAAGGAATTTGGTTTTATCACAATCCATCGTGAAGTGATCAAAATTGTCTTCACTGTGATGTTTAAAATTTTTTTCCTACAAATTCTTTAGTTGGTAAGATATTTTGGGCAATAGTACATCATTGAAATTGGTATTGAGCCTCTGTAAAAGCTTACTTTGAAAAACACCTATTGATTTAAGGCATTGAATTCTTCCAAAGGTCATTTAAATAGGCCCATCTGGTCATACCTTCTAGTTGTTTCACTTTTTCAGAGTTAAACAACACTGTGATGAACATCCCACTACATACCAGCTGTGTTATAGTTGTCCCAATTTAAAATGGTGTGACCCAATGTTGCTACAAAGTGGTGATGAGAAAAATTAGTTATTGGAGAGGTACAGTATCATGTCACTATGATGGCCTCATAGAATGAGTTAGGAAGTATTTCTTCCTCTTCAATTTTCTGGAAGATTCTGTATACAGTTGCTAGTACTAATTCCTTAGATATTTGGTAGAATTCACCAGTAAAGTCATTTGAGCTTATAGTTTTCTTTGTTTAAAGTTTAATTATAAGTTATATACTTTTACTAGATGCTTTGTTATATATTTTACCCATTTTTAGTATATTTTGTAGTTTGTGACTTTCAAAAAATTATTTAAGTAGTTCCTAGTATTTCTTTTCATCCTTTTCATATATATAAGATCTGCAGTGACATCACCTTGGTAAAATATAATCATGGTATTTTGTGTCTGATTTACTTTTTGTCATGAAAGTCTGGGTAGAAATTTGTTAATTTTGTTAATCTGTTCACAGAATCAGATTTTAGTTTCCTTGTAGATTCTTTTGTATTTCCTATTTTACTAATTTCCTCTTCGATATTTAAAAAGTTTGTTTCTTCTATCACTTCATTATTTATTTATTCTTTTACTTTCTTTTTTAAAAAAGATTTATTTTATTTATTTAAAAGACAGAGTTACAGAGAGAGGTAGAGACAGAGAGCGAGCTCCTTCATCTGCTAGCTCACTCCCCAAATTGTTGCAACAGCCTGAGCTGAGCTGATCTGAAGCCAGGTCTCCCATATAGTTACAGGGGCCCAAGCACTTGGGCCATCCTACGCCCACCCAGGAGTCCCAGTCTCCCACATAGATGCAGAGGACCAAGCGCTTGGGCCATCCTATGCTGCTTTCCCAAGCACACCAGCAGGGAGCTGGATTGGAAGTGGAGCTGCTGGGACTTGAACCGGTGCCCATATGGTTACCAGCACTGCGGGCTGGGGCTTTAAGCTGCTGCACCACTGCACCGGCCCACCTTTTACTGTCTTAAGATTCAAACCAAGATCACTAATATGTGACTTTTCTCCTTGTCTATTATAGCTATTTAATGCTGTAAGTTCTCCTAGGTCTGGGGTCAGCACACCTTTTCTGTGAAGGCCAAACAGTAAATCTTACAGGCATTGCAGACCCTACAATCTCAGCTGCAATTATTCAACCTTGTCATTGTAGAATAAGGCAGCTATGGACAATAAGTCAAAAGTTAGTTTGACTATGTTCCGATAAAACTTCAATCACAAAAGCAGTTAAGTGGGCTAGATTTGTTCCATGGGCTGTAGTTTATCAACTCCTATTTCAAGAACTTCTTTAGCTGTCTCCAACAAATTTTCCATTTTTATTCAGCTAGAAATGGTAATTTTCCTTTTTACCATGGTTTTCTAAAAAAAGTATGTTATTTAGCTTTCAAATATTTGGAAAATTTAGCAGATATATTTCACTGATTGATCCCTAATGCAGTTCTACTGTGGTCAGAGAAAATACCCTGACTAGATTTCTTGATACTTCTATTATGGCCCAGAAAATGAGCTATCTTGATAAATGTCCTATGTTTGTTGTGAAAGATTGTATATTCTGCTTTGTCAAGTGGAGTGCCTTATAAATATTAGGTCAACTTGGTTGATAGTGCTTTTCAAGTCTTCTAAAGACTTATTGATTTTCTGTCTTCTTATCCTACAATTATTGATAGAGGGTTATTTAAACTTTTAACTACAGTTATGCATTTGTCTATTTCTTCTTGCAATCTTAAGATTTTTGCTTCTTGTATCTTGAAACTCTTTCCTTTCTGTATGGAAAATTCCTTTAACATTTTTTGTGGTGCACATCTGCTGATGATAAAATTTTTTTGGCTTTTATAGGTCTGAAAATAATGTTTACTCATGTTCCCATTTGAAATGTGGTTTCACTCGGTGTAGAATCCTAGACTGACAGTTTTCTTTTAATTGCATCAATACTTTAAAGATGCTACCACATTATCTTCATACTTGCCTTGTTTCTGAAAAGATATTTGTCATCTTTGCGTCTATTCTTGTGTTTATAACATATCCTTTCGTTTTAGCTTTTTATTACTGACTTTGAGTAGTTTAGTTATGTGCCTTGGTGTAGTTTTCTTCTTGTTTGTTGTGCTTATGGTTCATTGACAATCTTATATTTATCAGTTTAAGTTTTTACCATATTTGGAACTTTCAGCTACTGCTTCTTTCAATATTTTTTTCTCATTCCCCTCTTCTCTTTGAAGACGCCAATTATGTTTATAAGCCTGCTTTGTTCTCCTGAAGGGCATTGATGGACTGTGATCCTATTGTCTCTGTTTCAGTTCAGATAGTTTCTATTGTTTGTCTTCAAGCTCATTAATTAACCCTTCTGCAATATTAGCTCTGTTGCTATTTCATCTGGTGTACTTTCTATTACATACCTGTGGGGAGCAATCCGGACTAGACTAAGTTACTCGAATTAGGACTTATTCTGTGCATCTGCTCTCCCACAATATGGCGCTGGGAGAGAAGTAAACAGCTTCCGCACAGCTGCCTCCAGTTCAACTGATGGACTGTAGGACTTGCTCCTGATTGGAGAGCAGCGTGCTCGGCGTGTGGGCGGCCGAGTTGGGATTGGCGGAGGAGGACCATAAAGGAGGAGAGAAACGGCATGCACCAGGGAACATCTATGGGGAACATCTAAGGGAACCCGTGCAGCCCCCCAGAGAGCCGGCCGGCGGTGTGCCGCTCCCCTGCGGAAGTGGGGAATGCGGCCAGGGGGAACTGCCCTTCCACGGAGGTGGAAGGGATAGTAGCCAACCCGGGAAGAACCAGCAGCAAACCCGGGGAGGGCCGAGCAGATGAAAGAACAGCGCAGGGTCCTGTGTCGTTCCTCCACGAAGAGGGGGAGCGACACATACCTGCAGTTTCATTTCTATAAATTCAACTAGGTGTGTCTGTTTTATATGTTCCAGGCTTATACTTCATGAGTTTAGTTTTCCTTATAGACATTAAACACATGTAATACAATTATAGTAACTATGGCATGTCCTTGTTTGATAATTCTAACATCTGTGCCAGTTCTTGATCAGTTTTAATTGATCCATTTTCTCTTTGTCATGAATCACATTGGCCTACTCTTCTTATATCTGGAAATTTTTCATTATATCCAAACATTGTGAGTTTTACCTCTTTAAGTGCTAGATAATTTTTATTCCTATAAGTTCACTTGATACTTGCTATTGCAAGCAGTTACTGGGAACCAGTTTGGTCCCTTTAGGTTCTGTTTTTAAGATGTATTGGGTGGGCCTGTGCCACGGCTCACTAGGCTAATCCTCTGCCTGTGGCGCTGGCACCCCGGGTTCTAGTCCCGGTTGGAGTGCTGGTTCTGTCCTGGTTGCTCCTCTTCCAGTCCAGCTCTCTGCTATGGCCCAGGGAGGCAGTGGAGGATGGCCCAAGTGCTTGGGCCCTGCACCCGCATGGGAGACCAGGAGGAAGCACCTGGCTCCCTGCACCCCCATGGGAGACCAGGAGGAAGCACCTGGCTCCTGGCTTCGGATTGGCGCAGTGCGCAGGCCGTAGCAGCCATTTGGGGGGGTGGGGTGAACCAACAGAAGGAAGACCTTTCTCTCTGTCTCTCACTGTCTAACTCTGCCTGTCAGGAAAAAAAAAAATGGATACTTGAAAAAAAAAAAGATTTATTGGGCAAGATCAGAACCCCAATTAGTTCAGTTCTGTTTACTTTTTCTTCTTAGGCAAGAACGTTACTCAGCATCTTACAAATAATGAAGTTTTCCAGTTTGACTGGTGAGAAAGAGCACCGATCATGGCCCTGATACTGCTTCCTCTGATCCTCTCAGTTGGTTCTTCTTTGGTCCTCATAGTTTCTTTCCTTGCACACGTGATCACCGGAGTGACCAGCACTCCAGTGGATGCTCAGCAGAGCTCTGAGATAGATCTTTGGAGTAGTTGTTCTGTGAAGCTTTCTCCACTCTGGTATTTCATTCACACTGTGTAACCTTCTTAACTTTCCCAGATTCTCTGCAGTACATCTTCAATTCAGAGAGTCCACTAGATTCAACTTGCTTCTCACATGGAGTGTTCTCATCAACATTTTACTCCTGGATTTAGCATAGTACCTGAAACATAGAAGGTTCCATGAAAGTTAGATGCACTATCACTTTTTGGTTAAAAAATAATTCTACTTTTGTAAATTAGATGCTTTCCACATTGGTGAGGTATTCAGAGAGACATAGCGTACCTCAAAACATCTGTGGAGGGGCAAACATTTAGCCTGGTGGCTAATTCACCTACATCTCACAACAGAATACCTGAGTCCAAATCCTGGCTCCAGCTTCCTGCTAATGTAGACCTTGAGAAATAGTTTGTTCCTGCCTCCCATGTGGGAGAGTTCCTGTCTGGCTGTCTTCAGTCCAGCCCAACTTCAGCCGTTGCTGGTATTTCAACACTGAGCCAGCAGATGAGAGAGCACTCTCTCTCTCTCCTTCTCTCTTCCTCTCAAATAAATATTGAACAAAAATGAAAAATGGAATTAAAAGATTAATTTGTTTTGACACAAAATCAGATGACATATTTTCCATGAACTTTCTGCAGTCTCTCCAAATATATGGATTTCAACAATTTTTGTACCAAAATAAACTTACCTTTTTGGAAAAAAAAATTTTTAATTTGGGGGTGGAGGAGAGAGGAAGATGGGGCAGAACTCACACCTACTAGTTCACTCCCAAATATCTGCAACAGCCAGGGCTGAGCTGAACCAAAGTTGGGAACCAGGAACTTGATCCAGGTCTCCCATGCAGGTGGCAGGAATCCAATTACTTGAGCCACTATTAATGTCTCCTAAAGTCTGTATTAGCAGGAGGCTAGAGGAAGAGTTGGGAATCAAACCTGTATACTCTGACGTGGGATGCAGTCATCTCAAATGGTGTCTTAACTGCTAGGTTAAATACTAACCTCTAAACTTATCTTTTAATTACAGTTTTCCATGAACATTTTGAAGTGCTCTTATATATTTATGTCTCTTAGCCTCATATAATGCACTAGAAATGAAAGGTGGGCCTTGATATCATTGATTTTCTCAAGAAAAATATTTAACAATTGACACTCTTATTTATGACGTCAGTAATCACCCGAGGCTCTTGCCATGAGCTGTCGAGGCTATGGAAGCCTCTTGAGTTCACCAACTCTGAACTTATTTAGTCAAGGCCATATCACAGTGCAGGTTCCTTCCTCCCTTCAGAGAAAGGTGCCTCCTTCTTTGATGTTCCGTTCTTTCTGCTGGGATCTCATTCACCCAGATCTTTCATTCAGGTCGTTTTCGCCACAGTGTCTTGGCTTTCCATGCCTGCGAGACTCTCAACGGGAGTCACTGTGCACTTGCTCCCCATGTAGGATCTCTGTCCTTAATGTGTTGTACTATGAGAATTAATGGCAAAACTACTAGTCAAACAGTACTCTATATCTTGTGCGGTTGTGTGGGTGCAGTCTGTTGAAATTTTTGCTTAGTATATACTAGGTTGATCATCTGTATATAAAGATAATTGAAAATGAATCTTGATGAAGAGTGGGATGGGAGAGGGAGTGGGAGATGGGATGGCTGCAGGTGGGAGGGAGGTTATGGGGGAAAAAGTCACAACAATGCAAAAGTTGTACTTTGTAAATTTACATTTATTAAATAAAAAAATAAAAATATTAATATAGAATAATGAATTGCCTTTGAGAGATCAAAATATGAATACTATTTATTCAGCTCATTTGTTTTTTTTTATTTATTTTTTTTTAATTTTTTTTTTTATTTTTGACAGGCAGAGTGGACAGAAAGAGAGACAGAGAGAGAAAGGTCTTCCTTTGCCGTTGGTTCACCCTCCAATGGCCGCCGCTGCAGCCGGCGCACCGCGCTGATCCGTTGGCAGGAGCCAGGATCCAGGTGCTTTTCCTGGTCTCCCATGGGGTGCAGGGCCCAAGCACCTGGGCCATCCTCCACTGCACTCCCTGGCCATAGCAGAGAGCTGGCCTGGAAGAGGGGCAACCAGGACAGAATCCAGCGCCCCGACCGGGACTAGAACCCGGTGTGCCGGCGCCGCAAGGTGGAGGATTAGCCTATTGAGCCACGGCACCGGCCAGCTCATTTGTTTTTGAGAGGCAGAGAGACAGAGAACCCACAACAGGCTTTGGTTGGGCCAGGTTGAAGCTGGGAGCTGGCAACTCAATCCAAGTCTCCCACTTGGGTGGTAGGAATGCAACATCTTGGGCCATCTGAGGGGCTGCATTAGTGGGAAGCTGGAGTCAGGAGCAGAACTGGGTATTAAATCAAGGCACTTTGATATAGGACATGGGCATCTTAACTTGTAGCTTAAGCCCTAAGCCAATTGCCTATCCCTTCCTCAGGTTTTGAATGATGACTAAGAAGTCACTATAATTACAGATTTGAATTATTATGAAGGGAGGCACAAATATAGAATAAGCTATTATATGTAATATTCATCATATCAGTGTTTCTTAAACTAGTATGGCTCAAAATACCTGGGGAACTGCTTGTCCCCTAATGGATTCTGATTTCATCAATACCCTACTTCATTTAATCTATGGACCAAATTTAGGGCATCAACTTCCCGATCTGCAAGGTAATGGTTATTCACTGCCTCACCGTGTTGTTATGGGATTCAATGAAGCAATGCATTCAAAACCTGTAATTCAGTGACTACATATAAGAAATGCTTAAACATTGTGTGAAATAGATTTCTTCAGGCAAGTTACACAGGTACACAACCGATAAAGTATTGTCTGCTGTTCAATGGAAGCAACCCATACCTAATCTCTAGAATTTCCTGATACAGTAGCCCAGACTACTGTCTAATGATTGCTTCATTACTAAAAATTTAGAAAATGGGAAGTTTTCTATTAACAGATGTAAACGTTAAGTAACTGGGGATTAGAACCACACTAGAAAACAGACACATGAGAATAACTGGGAAGTGGGTTGAGAGTACCTACAAGAGTCATGCAGATTATTTCCCCCACAAAAGTGAGTCACAGGGGATGTTCCGCTTAGGATAATTCTTAATATTGTGAGGACCCACCTGGATTCAAGGTGTCTGGGAGCTTTTATCTCATCTTATTCCTTTGGCTGAATCCAGAATCTGCTAATAACAGATATGGGAACATTAGTATTAGAAAAGATCTGGGTTTTCCAATACTTATCTAGGAATCTAGGTTTTTGATAGCTCTATTAAGTTATAATTCTGCGAAAATGCCTCACGTGAACTTAAGGTGCGAGTCTCTAACAGCTCATGTGGGAGCTTTAGGTTGTTATTAGCAGACCCCCGTCAAGCTGCCCTTCATCCTCATAATGCACCAAGTAATGTGGGTCAGTAATAGAAGTGGGAAAATCCTGTGATCACCTGCAAATCAGACCAAGCCTTCAGGCAAGATTGTCTGAGGAGGGAAAGAACCCACTGGAATATATTCCAAACAATGAGATCTCCCCGATTTCTTTATAACCATCCCATAATATGTAAGTGTGCTAAGTGATTTCATTCATTAATAACCATTCCTCTTGAATTTATTAACATCTTAGAGGGTCTAGTTCACTACTTTGTATGGGATGTGATGAGAATACAAATAGAAAAAAAAATTGTATATCCCACAAATGCCGAACAAATTGAAAAAAGAAACTCAAAACTTAAAATTCCTTAGTAGTACCTTAGCTGTATCCCACACAAACAAATGAAAGATTCACTCGTTGCCTCAGATCTAAAAGCTTTCCAATCTATATTTAAGTATATTCAGGATGCATTATTTAGTGAAAGAAGTTATAAAAAACAACACCATGGATCTGATGTTCAAAGATCCCAAACACAATATTATATGCTTGTAATGCTCACTGTTAGACTTGTTATTAGTATCAACAAGACCCATTTTTGCCTACTGGTAACTAACCTCCCAGGTACTTCCTAAATTTGTGTATTGTATAGTAATGCATGCAGACATGCTTTGAGGTTGGTTAATGACCAACTAATGACATAGAACTCTTCTATGTCCAAAAATTGAAGTTACATAATTAAAAGAATACTTTCATCTAGTGGAATTGAGGTAACACGAGAGCATTTGTGTTTTAAATTATGCATATGTGTGGATTGTAGGGGGAAAGTGTTTTGTTGAAATAAAGGTAAGAAAATGATTGCATTAGCTAGAAAAGCTGAAATTGTGTTTTTTTTTCAAAACAACTTTCATTTTGATAAGAGTGATGTTAGGTATTTTTTCCACACCATTTACCTAGCTCTTCTCTTTATTCAATTATTTTGCAGTGATAAGTCAAATAGCATTTAGTTTACTAAGGTTTATGTAGTACCAGTTGTTGAAATCAAAAGTGATTTATAGCATGCAAAACAATTCTGTCTACTAGGTGTAATTAATTATATTTATAGCAGACAGTAAATATTTCTGTACATACTAATTATACTTTACCTATTATATTTGAAAACAAATAGATTGATTTAAATAGTACAACCACAAAGGACATAATAAAGTTAGGGTATGGAGCTAACCACATCCACTTTTTGGAAAAACATGAAAAACAAGTATTTTTATGTTAAAGAAGTGAGTTGAATACATATTTTTTCCTGATTCATTTTACCTAATAAGTCAATTCCTCCTACTTTATTTGTAAAATTCTTCTTTATTAGAAAGACAGAATGACAGAGAGAGGGAGAGAGATGAAGGGAGAAACAGATCTTCTACCTATTGATTCATAGTGGCCTGGGCTGGGCCAACCTAAAGCCAGGAGCCTGAAATTCCATCTGGGTCTCCCATGTAGGTAGCAGGGGCCCAAATACTTAGGCCATCTTCCTCTGCTTCCCCAGGTGCATGAACAGGAAGGAAGCTGGATTGGAAGTAGAGCATTCAGGACTTGAACTGGCACTCCAATATAGGATGCTAGTGTCATAGGCTATGGCTTAACCCACTGTACCACAACGCCTGCCCCCAATTCTTCTTACTTTAAAAAAATTGATCCTCCAATCTTTTGAAGACACAATATTTTAGCATGTTGTTTAAACTAGTCTATAAATCCCAAGCTTATTTCCCACCAATATCTGTGGAACTTCAGCTGGAAGCCACTTGAATATTGCTATGCGGAGCGCGAGCAGGTGTGTCTTGCTCCCCAGTGGAACACATTGGCCATCAAGCCCATGGAGAAGTCATGCTTGTAAGCTGGGTGGATTTAATGTTTGCTTCCTCACAAGCTTTTGTGTTTAATTAGCTGACAGATCAGACAAAACAGGAGGGGCTGGAGACTTGCAAGAGCAAACAACATGAAAGTGTAGTCTAGTTCTAAGGTATCAAGCATTCTTTTTTTATTTATAGAGAATATCGGTTTTTTTTTTCAAGATTTATTTATTTATTTATTTGAAAAGCCAATGGCCGGCGCCATGGGTCACTTGGCTAATCCTCCGCCTGCAGCACCAGCACCCCAGGTTCTAGTCCCGGTTGGGGCATCGGATTCTGTCCCGGTTGCTCCTCTTCCAGTGCAGCTCTCTGTTGTGGCCCAGGAAGGCAGTGGAGGATGGCCCAGGTGCTTGGGCCCTGCACCTGCATGGGAGACCAGGAGGAAGTGCCTGGCTCCTGGCTTCGAATCAGCACAGCGCTCCAGTCATAGCGGCCATTTAGGGGGTGAACCAATGTAAAAGGAAGATCTTTCTCTGTCTCTCTCTCACTGTCTAACTCTGCCTGTCCAAAAAAAAAAAAGCCGAGTTACAGAGAGGGGTGGAGAGAGATAGAGAGAAAGATCTTCCATCTACTGGTTCACTCTTCAGATGGCCATGGCCATTGCAGCTGGGACAGGCTGAAGCCTGAAACCAGGAGCCTCCTCTGGATCTCCTACAGCCATGCAGGGGCCCAAGCACTCAGGCTATCCATTGCTGCTTTTCCTAGGCACACCAGAGGCAGCTGGATCAGAAATGGAGCAGCCGGGACACGAATTGGCACCCATATGGGACACCAGTGTCCCAGGTGGTGGCTTTACCCATCACACCGCAACTCTGGACTCACTCAAGTTCTGAAGGCCAGGTTGTGAGGGTGTCTTGAATTTCAAGGTAGGAAGCCTTGTCAATAGATGCCTTGTCCCCAGAAATACATCTGGCTAAGTTTACTGTGGCCATTGAAGATGAAGTCACCGTTGAAGAGTAACTTGCTCTCAATGTGGAAATCAGTTCTCCGCTGTTCATTTAGACTCCTGGGGAAAACCATCTGTAGTTTCAGGTCTATTGTCCTGCCAGCAGTGCAAAGCTTGGTGGCAGAAAGAACAATCATACTAAGGGCATTGAGTGAGTGCTTGATGGGTGCTCTCTGTGTTTACATAATATCTCATTTAATCCTCAGGGTCCTCTGAGGTAAGATTACTATTGTCTGCATCTAACAGAAGGATTTAAATAATTCGTTCAAAGCCACAGAGCTAGAATGGGAAATCCAGGATTAGAAACTGCACGGTGTAACTTCCAGCCCCAGGATCTCTGTAGTCACCCAAGGACGTCCTCTTTCAAGAATCTGCTTTTGCTTGTCTTCATTCTGCTCTCCATATTTCAAGGGGGCAAGAACTACTCAAGAGATGACTTCATGGCTTTTGCCTTAACTCTCTGCTCGACTTCCTCCTCTCATTTTCTGTTTTAAGAAGTACCTTCCCTTCGACTCTTTTCTTATAACTTCGCATAGAACTCAAGAAAGGGAGATTCACTCAGGGGGCAGAGTGGACGTTGCTCATGCTGAGCAGAGGACACGGTCAAGGTTGGGTTGAAGAAAGTGGAATCTGGTTTTTTCATTGTGCTATTTCACCTTTCTTCTCATCCCATGGTAAGCAACTACACAATGGCAGTATCCACACAGAACCACTGCTGAATATTTGTTCATCTGTAAGGTATAAGAGAGACAGGTCCAAGATAGGTGAAAGTAAGTTTGAAATTATTGATTTTATTATAGGAGAGGAAAATATAGAATGTCCACTTTAATTAGGCTTGCCCAAATTTTCCTATTAAAGAATTGCCATCTCTGTTTTCTTGTGCTTTGTCTCTTGCTTAGGAACATTTATAAATATTTATTTTGTTTTTATTTTTATTTTTTGACAGGCAGAGTTAGACAGTGAGAGAGAGAAACAGAGAGAGAGTTATAGACAGAGAGAGAGAAACAGAGAGAAAGGTCTTCCTTGGCAGGTACCAATGCCAGTGCACTTGGTAAAGTGATAAGTATAAATACACAACCGATCAAAAAGATAGGGTAAGTGTCGAAGAGATTTCACAAATAAGACCAGTGTAAGCAAACAATGAAGGATAGAATTAAAAGGGAGAGTATGATCCTGCGGGGGAAGCAGGACACACAGCAGACTCATAGAATGGCAAATGCCCAAATCAGCACTCCTGCCTCAGAATCAACCCTTGGGACATTCGGATCTGGCTAAAAGGTCCATGAGAGTCTCACAAGCATGGGAAGCCATGACACGGTGGCAAAAAACAATCTAAATGAAAGATCCTGGTGAACAAGTCCCCAGCAGAAGGAACAGGCCATCAAGGAGGGAGGCGCCTTTCTCTGAAGGGAGGAAGGAACCTCCACTGTGATATGGTTCAGAGTCGGTGAACTCAAGGGGCTTCCATAGCCTAGACAGCTCATAGCAAGAGTCTCAGGTGACTGCTGATCTCATAAATAAGAGTGCCAATTGTTAAATCAACAACGGGAGTCACTGAGTACAGGCTCCCCACGTAGGATCTCTGTCCTTAATGCGTTTTACTATGAAACTTAAAAACAACACTACTCGTCGAACAATACCCTATACCTTGTGTGGTTGTGTGAGTGCAGCCTGTTGAAATCCTTGCTTAGTGTATACTAAGTTGATCTTCTGTATATGAAGGTGATTGAAAATGAAACTCAATGAAGGGCGGGATGGGAGAGGGAGTGGGAGAGGGGAGGGCTGCTGGAGGGAGGGAGGTTGTTGGGGGAGCCTCAACAATACAAAAGTTGCACTTTGTAAATTCACATTTATTAAATAAAAAAAAGAACTTATGGGGGGAAAGCCATTGTAATTCATAAACTGTACTTTGGAAATTTATATTTATTAAATAAAAGTTAAAAAAAAAAAGAAAAGAAGATCTTCTTCCGT